GTACAAGTGCAAATCTTTGCACACATGTTTCTTTAAATAAATTAAAAAAATAAAGTTATATAATTTATTTTATAACAAAATTAAAAGTTAATAGAATAAATTAAACATTTATAATTAAATTATAAAATAAAAAAATAATTTAATAAAGTTAAAAATAAAAACACCAAAAAATAATAATACTTAAAACTACATAATAATTTTTATAATTCTTTATATGAATTTTAAATAAATTTATATTTTTAATAAATTTTAAATATTCATAAAAATTATCTATTTAAACATTTATAAATAATATAATTAAATATTTTAAATTAGTCTAATAAACTTTTACATTTAAAATAAACAAACTTTTAAATTTTAAAATAATATAATAAAATATTTTAAAAAAAAACTTGTACATGTACGAAACATAAATTTGAAAATAATATAATAAAATATTTTAAACATTTTAAACTAACGAAACAGAAATTTAATATATGATTTTTAAAAACATGTAATGAAATAGAATGAAACATTAAATAATACAAGGTAACAAACAATAAATAATATATTAAAAAAAATACTTTACGAGGGGATTTGTAAGTGTGAAATGCAAATTTTAAAGCATGCATAGCATCTCAAAAATGTTCTATATTGGATATATATTTTTTCATACCTCTATTTTTATTTTTTCATCAATTTGTTTATTAAATTTAATAAAATTATACAAATTATTTTTTAACATTATAAATTATTTAATTAAACATTTATAAAAGTAATAAAAATTCATACAAAAATTAAAAGAAATTATAAACTAATAAAATAATTAAAAACTAATATAAATTATTATTACTTTTATTTTAATTTTTTTAATTTTTATTTTTTAATATAATTATTATAATAGTATAAATTATATCTTAATAATTATTAAAAAATGAAAATATATTAAATTTTTAAATTAAATTAAATAGTTATTAAATTAAAAATAAAAAAACAAAATTTTAAAAATTTTAGTTAAAAGGGTGCAGGTTAACGGGATTCGTAGTTACTTTAATAAAAAGGAAAATAAAATATTTATTAAGGTTAAATAAATAGTTTTTGAAAAATTTGGAGACGCAGATGACAAAATTTTGATTTTGATTTGGATAAAAATCTTTTATGATATATTTTTTCCTTTTTTTCCGCAGCACCTCGTTCTCTACACTTCTTTCACTTCTTATTTTCATTTATATTTTTCATCTCAATCCTTTTTAGCAAATACAGTTTTATTATGAGTGGGTTACTGTTTGATTAGTAAACGTTGTTAGTGGTTGTTCGGATGGTGGATGATTTTTTTATGTTGATGGACATATCAAAGTATGAAATATGGTTAAGGATATCAATTCGATGAGAAACAATTGAAATTAATGTTTCGCTTAATAAAGGGATATATCGAACTTATGAATCCAGTTTGATATTGTCAGATTGAGAAATACAATTTAATGACATATGAGTGAGTAATGTGGCTTGATGTTATCAAATTGTAGAATTTTGTTTGATGTTACTAGATTGAGGAACTTAGTTTAATCTCGTCATACTGAATAATGTGTTTAATGCTATCGGATTAAAAGATATGGTTTCATGCTATTGGATTAAGGAATTCGGCTTGATGCTACCGAACTGAAGAATATATTTTGATGCCACTAGATTGAGATACTGAATTGTCTAGTCTGATAACCTACACCCTTACACATTTAACTAGTTTGCATATTCTGGTTCATATGACTCCCATATTACTTAACTAGGTTTTGATTTATCACACGGTTATATTTTTTAGCAATTTAGGTATCATAAGGGAGAGTGCAGTTGTAGGCGATTGGGTTTAACTTGAGATTTAAAAGAAACTATGAATATCATAGGTATTTGAGTCAGGTGCCTTAGGACCCTAAAGAGGGCTTAATAACTTTTTAAGATGTCTTATTGAAACATAATATATTTTAAAGTTTAAAATTAAACCTAATGCCAAAACTGTGTTTGAACTTTACTCTATTTTTTGAGTTGTTCCCATTATAGGTACTTAGGTTTAGATGTCTCATTTCTGTTTTCAATTGTCATATGTTACTTCCTCCACCATTCACTTCAGTTATTTCAATTTCGCGTTTTACATTTCATTTTATATTTTGCTCTTCATTGTTAATTACATAGTGTGATAAGAATATTGTTTTTAGGTCCTAATATTTATTCATGAATGATCATTAGTTTAGGTTCCATTATTTGCATTAGTATATGATTTTAGGATAGAAGTCATGCATTATTTTCATTTACTCATTTATGCAACATCAGTGCATCTATATTTTTTTTACAGTTTCTGTTTTCATCACATATATCACACTCTTGCATTCATTGATTAGTTTTAGTAGATACATGCATTATTACTTAGTTTCATATTTCAAATTACAGTTTTACACCTTCTTTCCCCACCTAGTTTTAGTTTTTTGTGAATAAGTAACTAGGTTTAATTCTATAATTCTAAACTCAATTTTGTCAAGTCCTTGGATTGATTCCTGGTCAGCCCTATATACTACATTAGTGGGGACTAGGTTTATTGACTTTTTGTGCGACCAAAAAGTTGTTCAACAATGAACATCTATTATTCTAAAGTTGAAAGGTTGTTGGACATTGGCTAAGACCCTAAGACTAGTAAGCCAACAACCAGGTTAATGATGAAGTCAAGTAAGGCTAGGTAGAAGTCAAATCAAGTTATGATACTAATTGGTCGAGCCTTTGAAGGAGAAGTTGAATGGTCATTCATAATGTAGTTGTAGGTGGTCATTCAATTGAGGTTGAATCAAGAGCCAATGCTTGAGGTTGGACATAGCTACACAGTTAAATAAAGTCTAAACGAGACAGGTGATCTTGAGGCCAAACAAGCCCGATATATTAAGGCTTGACCGAGACTAAGCTTGAAGTTGAAAGTCTTGACAACTGAGTCTAAACAAAGCCAAGAGGTTGAGGCCAAGAAAGACCACGTGGTTGGGAACATTGTGAGATGTTAAATTGAGGTCAAGTGATGATGAGGCCTAAAATCGACATGCCTATACAGGCATATGGTACACGAAGAAAATATTCTAAAAGTTAAAATTACATAACTCCTAGACACAACATTTGGTATTTGAATAGATTTCAATTTCAAAGAAGAACCGCAAAAATACATACAGGTGAATACATGGAATAAGAAAAGTCCAAATAACACTTAAATATAGAGGTGTTTAACTTAGATATAAAGTCATTTATGGTATTTTATGAGTAGTAAATGACTAAAAAGCCAATAAAAATGAATACATGTCACATAATTAAATAAAAGTAGTTGAGTAATTTTCTTACGAGTTTGTTATCTTAGTTTTTATTTTAGATAGGTTTGATATGTTTGTCAAATATGTGATTATTTTATTAGTTTAAGTTTTTAAAAATTCAAATTTTTGAGAATTGTTTCGGCCTGTGAGGTCGAGGTCAACTCTTTTCAACTTCAAGTTCAGGTCAAAGTTTCTCTTTTACTTTGGTCGAACTAGAAGTTACCTCCAGAAGAATTTAGTAAGGATTCAACTATACTAGCAATAAATGTGTATTAAATATAACCAACCTACCATAATACCTTAAACCTATATTGATAGACTCTAGAGTGAACTTCAAATTAATGCTGACCCAATTACGACTCAATTAATAATGATCATATTTAGTTCTAACTTAATTATCATTAACATCGCTTAAGGTCCGCCGTTCAATTATCTGAGTGTTCCAAAAAATCATCCAGTCTTAAACTGACCAATTGATCATATTATACAAAAATATTTTTTAATTATTATTTATCAACCAAATGGTAAATATAAATACGAGAAATGTTCAAAGTAACAATTAGGGTGACATAGCTAAATATCATTTTCACTTGATAAAAAAATAAGGCACAGATACATTAATAAATAATATATTTCAAAATATTAAAAGAATATCACATTTTGTAGTCAACAAGGATTAGCCTAGTCAGAGAAAATATATGTTTTGAAAGAACAAAACCCTATTTCCATCCTTATAAAAAAAATGGATCAAGTATAAAAGTAAGAGGATTAAAATCAAACAAGAAATAAGTCTAAAATCATCAGCCGCTGCTTCCATTTATCTCCTTAAACTTTTGCTTCATGAGGGTTGTCTTCAAACTAATGTTGCAAATTCAGTATACCCATTTTAACATGCTTTTATTTTATCTTTATCACAATTTTAATAGTTGTTACTTTGTTCGCATTTTAGAGGATAAGTTTAAGGTTTACGCTAATTAAAACCATGAATTGATTCTCTCGTAATTTTTTTTATTACAGAATGCATTCATGTTTTCTTTCAAAGATTTAATTATAATTTAACTGTTAATATGCTCTATGATACAAATTTGGGATGTGATCCGCAAAGTATTTATGATTACTTTTGTATAAAATAATAGATTTCAAAATTGTGTTGAAGATTCTGTGAACCTATTCAAAAGACAAAAATTACAGAAATTACTACAAGATACTTCAACGATATATTATTTTTCCTATACATAAAAATAATTGCAATTTCAAAATATATTATATTTTTTAAAAATGATTCTAAAAGTCTGTACGAAAAGAATGATAATCAAAAATTTCCTAAAGTGGTCAAAGTTGGTTCTTTAGTTTATAAACCTGCAAAATGAGACTTTTTTTAAAGCCTAATCTAACTCAAATCAATTAACTCATTTGCTATGCATTAAATAAAATTTATACAGAACATCATAAAAAATAGTTTCAATTTTGAGTGTTGTGCGGCACTGGTAAAGTAGATCAGAAGATTTATTCTCGTTTATATTTGAAAATATACTACAAAGAATTCTTGAAATTACTATTCCAATGTAAATGTCCAAAAGCTCTCCATAAAGGCTTTCTTTAAGGTTTAGATAGAAGATAAGTATTAACTTTTAAAATCAGGGAATGTAATTAACTTCCAAGAATTCAGTGGAGTTATATGGCTGATACAATACCATGGAAAACAAGTTGGTTGATGCGCCCAGAGTTTAATTGTCAATTTCAACTGTTTGATGCAAATATTTCTCAACAAATTGTAGTATAATTGGCTGATTTGAATCAGTCTCTAAAAAATCATCCAAATATGGTGACCATAATTAAAGTTTATTTAGTGCTCAACCACACCACCCAACTGTTTTGTTAACAGTGAAACCTGATTCAGAGGGTTGGGGCCGTGATTGCTGAGGAGGTCTAGTCTCTCTTGGTTTAGCAGGATCAACAAATATAACCCATCCATCCAAAAATTTAGCATTCATTCCTTCTCTAGCCTTTTCAGCTTCTTCTATGGTTGTATAAGTTACAAAGGCAAATCCCTTTGATCTTCCAGAGGCTCTATCAGTTATCACCTTAGCTGGATAATGAAAATTCAAAATGAACTCAAGATCAAGCAAAACATGTTATGGTAATAGGGAAAAAACTTATGATTACCTTCCACCAGCTGCCCGAATGAAGAAAATGCTTCCTTAAGTTTTTCATCTGTTGTCAATCTAGAGAGACCTGTCCGTATGCATAGTATTCACATTCATAAATGTTAAATGCAGAATCATATAACTATCGCACGTTAGATGAATATATTGAAATTTTTTAACCAGCAAAAGGATTCGAAAAATAATTTACATGCATGCATCGGTTATTGTAATACACGTCTTCATACATTATACATAATATAATACACCTAGAGATTTCATACATCAAATGGGGCCAAAAGGTATAATATAACTTAATTGAAGTTCATTTCAAATAGACCAGAAAACTGGTCCATTCAAGGTTCACGGAAGTGTCCATGAGACAGAAATAAAAGTGTAACCTTTACAAGGAAAATCTTGACTGCTGGAATCCAACAAGGTTTTCTAAGGAAATTATCCTAAATAAGAGCTATAGTTTATCTCTTGTTTAAACTTGCGTTGCTTGGAACAGAAATTTATGATGCAACAAAGATATATAATTAAACCAAATTAGATCTGCAGATTGGATTTGAACTATCGAGTTCCATAGATTCTCTTTTCTTTTACTGCAGAAGAGAAGAAAAACAATTTTGATAAATTATTTTCAGTTTTATAATGTTCTAATCCACATTCATCACTAGACACTGCTTTTTTTAATAAAAAGAGGAGCATTGTTCGAAGGAAAGAATGAAGACAGAGGAGGATATACAATTCCTTAGTCAGACAAGAAGGCAAATAAAAACAAACAAAACACAGGCGTGATTTATAGGGCAAGATTTCCACCAAGAAGAAACCTACAAAAAGATACATATATGGAAAAACGAAATGGATATTGTAACAAAGAAACTACCCCAGAAATTTCACTTAAAATAACAGACTGTACAAATAATCTTAACTTGTTGCCCTCCTTAATCAAAAGAAAGCTTCTAGGTTTGTGGACACACCAATGACCCACTTGTGACAGTGAATAACTACTCCAAATGTGACTAATTTTTGGCAAAGTTAAAAAATATGTTCGGGTGCTGGTGTTCCTGCTCGGGATATTTGATCCAGGATGCACACCTTAGAGGTGATTCTAAAGTTTGAAAAGAGGTACTGTACAACAAACCCCATTCAACATCTAGGTCCCATACCACAGAACCAAGAGAAAACAACAGTTAAAGATTATGCAGAATATGTCTTAACAAAGGGATCCAACCCCTCAAAAGTGCAGCTAAAGATCAATCAAGTGTATAAAATAGTCAAGCTAGCTACAATCCCCAAAGTGCACTTCCCAAGTTTTAGAGGGACTAGACGTTTTTCTAAGGAGGGTGTTCTTCTCTTTTACTTAGGCATAACTTATGTTTAAACAAACAGAGTCATTCTGAGAAATCCCCCATGAATGGATTGCAATTCGACAAAACACAAAACTAGGGCAAGTGAAAATCATAAGTTGGATTTTAATATCATGTAAAAGCATGTTAAAATGGGTGCGATGAATTTGCAACGCTAGTTTGAAAACAAACCTAGTAGGAGAAACAAATTATTACCCACACAACAGTTTATTGAACAACATACACATTGCAACTATATATTAAGTATATATATATATATATATAATATATATATATATATATATATATATATTATATATATATATATATATATATATATATATAGTAACAATGGAATAAGAGAAGACCGATTAGCATCCATAACTAACCAATTGATTTAATCAATTGAAGAGGCAAATAGAAGAGGGGTATTTGGAAAACGAAAAGGAGTAAAGAAGAGATAGTAGCTCACCGCTGACGAAAAGTTTGGGGGAGGTGAGAGTTGAGGCTAAACGAATGGAAGCATGGTGCGAATGAAGAAGTGGGGATTGGCGAAGTAGATGCTGAAGTCCAGACATAAAAGCCATCTGAAAACAAAATTCAAGCAAAGAGTGAAGTTGTGGTGTGTTGGAGAATCCTTAAACCCTTGTTTTCTGACACTCCCAACAGAACCCCTAAACCCCAAAACAATAATAATGTTATATATCCTTAGATCTCATCAATGTTCCTGTGTTAGACCTTTTATTGGTTGGAAAGAATTTTACTCTGAGTTGTAAGCATGGGCCTTTACTGGATTGTGTTGGGCCTATCTCAGTCCACTTTTGTTTACTAGAAGATCACTTTTTACTGCACCTTTTTTTTCCTGCAACTTCTCAATTATGTAATTCCACTTTTACCCTTATGAATATATAATATAATTATATTCCGGCTAGATCACATTCCGGCTACCAGCATGGTATTCACACGAGATCCGACAGTAAGTCCCCATGCCGGCACCTTGTCGGTCCGAGACGGTTCAATATAATTTCATTTACAAAACCAATAGCTTCTAGTAAATTATCAGCAATGAAAAAGCCATAAACTAGACTATTAATTGTAAATCAAAAGATTATGAAAAATTCCCTTAGAAATCATTTCATAATAGAAACCATAACTCTCGTTGGGCTGTACATTACCACGTCAGGCTTAGTTGACAACTCCTCATGAGAGTGGAGTAAGTAATTCCGTTGACCTTTCTTGAACTAATACAAGAATCATTTATCTGAATTAGGCAAAGAAAGCCCTTACCCTTAACATTCAAGCTTTGTTCACTTGAATGGATTTAGGAGAAAATGATTGAAAGGTAAATTTTTTGTTGTTTATTTGAGTGGATTTTGGAGGTAAGTGAGAGTAGATTTTTAAGTAAAGTTGTGAGGATTAGTGTAGAATTTGATTGATGCGACAGATTAAAAAAATTTACTTCCAAATCCACTTTCATTTATCTCCAAAATTAGCTCAAATTAACAACAAAAAATTTACCTTTAAATTCTCTTAAATCCATTCAATTACTGTCCCTTAAATCCATTCAAATGAACAAGGGCTAAGTAAAGATTTCAGAATAACAAATTCAGGCTAATTCCCTCCATCTTCATCTGCTTAGAAAGAGGAAAAGGAATCCAAGACAGCGTAGAGATGTGAGCGTCATGAAAAGGGAACTTAATGTTAAAGGAATTGGCATAAAAGAAGAAAACTTGGGAATGCAACATCATAGACAAACCCTAGCCGCACATTATTAGTCATGGGTGTCACCTTACACCTCTAATCATCTCCAAAAATTACAATTTTAACTTTATGATATTTTATATGTATCTCTATTTTTTTTTAAATTTCATTTTGAATGTTTTATTTGTACCTCCAACCTCATCCTACACTTTTTATATTTTATCAATTTTTTTTAACCTTAATAAATATTATTTTAACTTTTTTTTATTAAAGTGATCATACACCTCTTTAACATTGCATACCTCTAACAAATTTTTAAAACTTTACTTTTTATTTATAATTCAATAACTATTTAATTTAATTTAAAAATAATATAATTTAGTATTTTTCATATTTTAATAATTATTAAAATATAATTTGTATTATTATAATAATTATATTAAAAAAATTAAAATTAAAATAATTAAAATAAAAGTAATAAAAATAA